AATTATATGGAATACGGGCCTCACCTCCGATTTTGATCTAATTAGGCTCATTCGACGCGTTTTCACTCAAAATGAAAGAATCCGGAAGAAATTTGTGGCGCTCGACCTCGTGAACCAAGATATTAAGCGTTAAAGTTCGAGATTTTAGAGGTTAAGATATCTGTCACTGCTGTAAAAAATAACAAATTACTGCTTTAGAAACACAAATTCACTGCTTTAAAAATACAAATTCACTGCTTTAAAAAACAATTCAATTTAAAACAATAGTGGAGCCCTCCCCCGCAGGGGGGGCAGAACCCACTGCATTCACGCATACACTTTTAACGTAGAAGTAATATGCGTGGCGTGGATACAGTATGTTCCGCTCCCTCAGTCCCTCTATGATTGTACTGTTGCTGTAAAAACAACAATTCGCTGCTTTAAAAACAATAGTGGAATCTCCCCGCAGGAGGGGCGGAACTTATTGCATCCACGCATGTTATATCTACGTTGTAAAAGTGTATGCGTGGATACAGTGGATTCTGCCCCCTCCCCCTGCGGGGGGACTCCACTATTGTTTTAAAGCAGTGACAGATATCTTAACCTCTAAAATCTCGAACTTTAACGCTTAATATTTCGGTTCACGAGGTCGAGCGCCACAAATTTCTTCCAGATTCTTTCACTTTGAGTGAAAACGCGTCGAATGAGCCTAATTAGATCAAAATCGGAGGTGAGGCCCGTACTCTATATAATTACCTTAAACTCTACAATTTTTGTCTAAAACATTTTTCTTAAAAGTACTCCATTTTCGAAATATTCGACCGTTTCCAGACTTTTTGAATACGCTGTATATTTACCTGCTGTAATATTTCTTTATAAGAGACTTCTTCTTTTAATATAAATGGTCTCCTTGTTGACGAGGTAAACTTGGCCAAGCTTATTAGGCACAGTCGAAGTCGGCACCGCTTTCCAAAAATGATGCGACACTCGAGGTAAGACGAAACAGGTGGAAACAGATCCACTCCAGTCCGCTCACTTAAGCAATCTCTCAAGACTTGTATGTATGTACACTCTTTGGGCGCGTTCAGCGGACTCAACAGTTGAGTGAGCGCTCGCTGTTATTGGTGTATTCTTTTAGATTAAAAATTCTGATTGGATGATCGTGAAATCTCAGCCGGATATTAATATTTATTATTTCAATTTTTACACTATAATCTTTGAAATATTCTGCGACTTGTAGAGCTATTTCTAAATTTTCGAAGCACTTTACAACAAAATGGCGAATTTTTAATAATATTTTGTCGAGTTTAGTGAATTAAAAAAAATACAAAAAAATGTTATATAAATCAACATTATGATATTACAAATGATATTTTTATTTAATATTTTAAATGAAAATTTTTTGTTTATGTTTACCAAAAATGTGTCACTATAGTATAAAAAAAAGCATTAAAAAAACTGATTTCTACAGCCCCTCTCGAAACATTTTTCTCACTACGCTACTGACATTTTACATACAACATGTGTTATCAGTGTTACATTATTACATTTATATTATTAAATAAAAAATTATAATATTAACGTAATGTGTGATGTTACTGCGCCAATATAGTTATATTCCGAGAGAAGGATATATTTGATTGCTTTTGAAATAAGTATTTAGACAATCAATTGTTATTACGTGTCTATATTTAAAAAGAAAGATATCTTCCATTTTCTACATTGTCGATCGCATAAAGCCATAGTTAAAATAATTATCTACATCGAGCGCTTTTGATACGCATACTAATTAGAACTGGGCACATTACAAATACAAGTGTAGAAAGTACTTTGTATTTCAAATAGATTATTCAATATATTTTTTTATTTCAAATATAAAATTTCCACAATATATTTTTTTATCATATATGAGATTGTCGTATAAGAAAAATTCAAGTTATTACTATTGTTGTCAAGAAGTCTGTTCTTTTTGTTGAATTTTTGCACCAGTTCATCTTTTTTCCTTTTTTCTTCTCTTGGAGAGAAAAAGAAGAAAGATGAACTGGTATAAAAGTTTAACCAAAAAGGATAGATCTAAGGATTATATTATAGGACCTAATATTAAAGGATTTTTTTAGTATTTTATTTGAAATGAATTCAAATCTAAATAAATTCTCTTACTGCGCATTAATTCAAAAATAGTATTTTGTATTTCAAATAAAAATTTTGGAAGTATTTTTTTTATTTAACGCAATTTATTAATTGAAAACATCTTTCTTTTTAAATATAAACGTGCAATAATAATTAGGTCTGTTCTTTATTGCTGAACTTTTGCACCAGTTCATCTTTTTTCCTTTTCCCTTCTCCTGGAGAGAAAAGGAAGAAAGATGAACTAGTGTAAAAGTTCAGCAATAAAGAACAGACCTATTGATTGTCGAAATACTTCAAATATATTTCAAAAGTAATCAAATATGTCCTTCGGAATGTAAACAAATATAGCTATTGCCAGTATTTATATTTTTATTTAAAAAAAAGTATTTTGTATTTGAAATGCGAAATTTGGAAATATTTCTGTACTTTGTATTTCAAATAAAAAAATTAAAAGTATTTCGTAATTTGTAATTCAAATACAAAGAATGTTTAGTATTTTGTATTTCAATTTATACTTTCTTGATGTATTTTGCCCAGTCCTAACTGGAGATTTTCTGTTAAGTTAATTTCGACAATGCGTGTAAACGCATATACACGACATAGCTATTTAATTAATCATTAGATATAGATGCATATTTGTTTATTATAGAACACCATTCTTCAAATGTATATTAATTTAATAAAAACTTATCGGTTAAGTACGCGAATTAACTAGTACTCGGCGTAAATAAACAACAAGGTGATACACATTACTATTATAGTATCGTATGCGCGCGATAACTTGATTAATTTGTGCGGAAAAAACCATCTCGACACTCTCGGTACGCGTAGGCTGCAGGTAATGGCGCGTTGGAGTCGTTGCATATGTGGCGACACACAAATTCCTCTCGTTTGATCTGCCCATACACGGAAGTAGGAAAAGCCCGCGCCCCGCACCGATTTATGGCGTTTTACGCGCGCACATTTCCCGCGATAGCTGCGCGGACCGCGCGATGCAGTCCGCAGCAATCGTCGTTCGTGTGTTGCTGCACACTTGCACATAGGTTGTGTGCGTACGGCGGATCAGCTGAGCGCCAGCTGTGCCGCGCACCTCGGCCAATCGGTGACGAGGATAGCAGCGCGGCTGGCGGCGTGGCGCCCATCACACCGGCGTTCCCGCGAAACGCCAATTTGCAGCCGCGCCAGTTTGCTCATTCGCTCTGTTCCGCGTCACGGTAGAAACTGGTGTGTGCGTTCGCGTCTTCCGTCATCTCCCGCGAGCGCACAACAAAACGTAATAAGTTAATCCGTACTCGAGGATGCTCGCGTTTGCCGTCCGTCATGAAAATCAGTGCGAGCCTGCAGTGTGATATCCGTGACGAGAGCGGCAATCAGCCGAAGATATACGTGCGCGCAACGCGTACCTGTGACGGATCCTTCGCTTAACCGGAACATTTAACGGTTCGCGAAACTCCAGGCTCACGTTCTGTCCTAGGATATACTGCATCCGCCTGCATCAATTGACGTCGATCGCTGCATTTTCGATAATAATTACCAGCCCAAGCGAGCTGGCCGAACACAGAGTACCTTGCGCGGAAGGACGCTCATTGTGAAGTCTCCTTTCGACGGACAGAAAGATGAAAAACTGATGCGCGAAAGGAAGAGAGAGCCAAGAGTCAAGGTATCGTGACGTACGTGAAATTTACCATCAATATTTCCAAAATTTGCCCCTTTGAGGTTATGTGGCGCATATAGAGGGCGTTACGAAGCATACCCAGGACAGGGGTTGGTCATCATTTCGCGCGCTGCTCTCCCGCGCTTCCAGATCCACGTCCTCTATTTTTCTCGGAATATCGTCGATTCGCGACTCGCACACTCTGCAAAAGAGCTCGTAAGCAAGATTAATGAATTTTCCAACTATCGAAATCGACTCCGAACGAAAATCCTAAGTCGATACGGTGAATCAAAGGCGGCAAAGAGAACGTGTGTTATGGCGATCGGATGCGTGTAGGCTTCGCGAGCCCCTTCGTTCTTCGTTGTTTTCCCTTGAAAATTCTTACGCCTGAATTGAGAAAATTGAGCGGACGCTCGTTCCAAGAGTCTCCGTTATCGCATACGCTTAGAAAAAATTTTTTCCGAGGGCAAATATTTTTCTTACGCGTTGGCAATCCGACGACAAGATGCCTCAGAGCAGGTAAGTGATCGATATTCCATTTCATGTTAAAATTCAAATATATCTCTTATGCTTTCCAAATCATTTAGTTTACATTAAAATCGATACAAATCTTATCCTTTGCTCTCGATTAAAAATACATTTTTTCTGTCCATGCTTAAACTTCATGCCTATAACCTTTTTCCTTCAATTTCTTTTTTAGGATTTTAGCAGCTTTCCTTCGGCGATGTAACAATTTGTTATCTTTAAATCGTTCAGTCAGCGCTATTTGCATTGTAAATCTGCAAATTAACACCATAGTAGCTCCATAAATTTTTTTGTTAAGCTTTTTGTGCATCACTTGGAAATAACGTCTTTGAAAGATTTATTTATATCTTGTTTTCTACAAATTGAGTTGATAGAGATAGATAATATGAAAGAATGTTGCATAGAGAGGGCTGAATTTTTTTCTTTGTATTCAGTTTGCAGGAAAAGAAGGTACAAACTTACTTGCAAGGAGGCAAAGCACAGTCTTTGAAACGCAAAAGACGTACGACAGAACTCTCAGAAGATTCAGAAAATATATATCCACCTAGTAAAGTACCTACACTGTCTCATGTCTCGTATGCGGAATCTTGTAATACCACGCCGTCAATAGATGCTGCATACACTTCCCAACATCAGACATCTCCGTTGAAAGAACAGCAGGAACCTGTTACATGGTCTGAATTAAGAACTGCAACTTGTTTCTTAACACCTTCAGCCTCAAATAGCACATCCATTAGACCTAGTCCATTGCCGTCTTTACCATGGGCCGATGGTTCCCAAGTATGGTCTCTCATGTGCCTTGGGGATCAGAAAACTCTAATTCAAAGGGATCCAGAAATGTTTCAGAGGCATCCAACGTTACAGCCAAGGATGAGAGCCATTTTATTAGATTGGTTGATTGAAGTTTGTGAAGTATATAAATTACATAGAGAAACTTATTATCTTGCTATGGACTACATAGACAGGTATCTGTCTATTCATCATGACGTACCTAAAAACCAGTTGCAACTTATAGGGATAACTTGTCTTTTTATTGCTTCTAAGGTTCGTAAATTTTGTTATTTTTTTTTACAATTATATACATTAAATAGTTGAAAAAGGGAGTAAATAAAATTTTATTGTCACTTTTGTATTAAGCAATCTTAAAATATATGTATATTGATGTTTAATATAAGGTATTTTAAAAATAAAAAAAAAACAAATTTTGCAGGTTGAAGAAATATATCCACCTAAAATCGCAGAATTTGCATATGTCACTGATGGAGCTTGTACAGAAGAAGAAATTTTAGGAAAAGAGTTGATGATCTTGAAAGGACTTGGATGGAATCTATCCCCGATAACTGCCCCAGGATGGCTTAATATTTATATGCAGATTGAATCAGGCGATTCATCCAAACCAAGCACTTTCATATATCCACAGTATGGTGGGTTGCAATATTCTCAAGCAGCTCAATTATTAGATCTGGCGACTTTGGACGAAGGTTGTTTGAAGTTTCCATACAGTCACATAGCTGCTGCAGCAATTTATCATACTCAAGGAAGAGAATGCGCATTAAGAGTATCCCGATTGTCATGGGAACAGCTTGCTCCTTGTGTTAAATGGCTTACAGCATTTGCTACTACTGTCGCGGAAGAGGACTCCCAGTCTCTTTTAAGATCTACGATTACGCTTGTAGAATCACACTCTGGATCTGGACTGAAGGCCACTGTACCTAATATTGTTGTAGACGAATCGCATCGCATACAGACTCACGTGGTCGATTTGAATATGTTAGAGAAGGCACAGCAACGATTAGCTGGAGAAATCCCGAGTGGTTGTGTGAACGATTCGGATACAAATATTGAACCTGGTAGACAAAGCCCAAACGAGAGTGGCCTTTTAACTCCGCCATCTAGTAATCAAAAAAATTCTCCGTTATCGACATGCCCTACACCACAATTACATCCTTATACATAACTAAATATTTACAACTTCTTTGCATATATCATGTATGGTAAATTGTTATACATATTTACCATATAATCGTGAATTACAGCAAGATAGAAACATGAGTTATTTTGAAAAAAAAATACGTGCAGAAACTTGGGGAAATGATAACACTATTGACACGTTATTGTAAATAATATGATGCTTCCTAATCGCATCCTTCGTACTGAACAATTCAAAATAGCAACAAGTTCTCAGTACAGGATATCAAGCATTTTTCAAATGATAAAATAATAAAATAGCACAATTAGATTAATTCAACATCACTTATTTTATTACAGATACTTGGAAAAGGCGTGCTTTATGGGATTTTGTATTGTTTATAAATGCCTCTCAAGGTACATTTACTGATCAATTTTAACTAGCAGTCACATATAACTGCTTTCTGTGATTGTGCTCACAATATTATAAAATTACGGTCTTATATTAACAGATTCGATTCATCTTGTCTTTATTACTTTATAAACTTTGTAAATGTAAGAAGAGAAATACTAATGCCCCTACACAAGCGTCCTTAAATAATGTTTGCTAGTTTTTCGAAAAAAAAGCATTGTGAATAGTATTCTTTTATATAACTCACTTTATTGTAATACAATGTATTACAGTGGTGTATTACCTGGCTGGATGAATGCGTTTTTATTATGTATATTATGAAAATCTATTAAAAACAATATCTTTATATCCTTAAATTGAGAATGAATGGTGAGGGATGAATGCAAGGATTAAATATGACAATTAAAATAAAAAAAGACTAATAACCTTTAATTAGTAAGCATTAAAATTTTGTGGTGAATTTGCACTGCCTGGCATGTAATAATGTGGCGGTTTATACATATTTGTATGATGACAATAAATGTAGTTTGACAATAAATGTTTTTTTGCAAACTTGCATTATTGTAAAAAAATTTTTGGTTTTTTTTATATTCCAATTATTTCAGTCATTTAATTAAAAAAAAAAAAATTTATTATGACGATGAACGATATAATTGTATGAGAAAACAAAAAGTATGTTTCGCAAAGGATCGCGGATACACAGTGGATAAAACAATTTTTGTGACTCAAATGATCATCTATACATTCATCTATTACATATTCCTTAATTTAAATAAATTTTAGGTGACAACAAGTCGAAAAGAAAATTCAGTTAAACATGACAATAATGTCTATTTTTTGCAATGTAGATTAATTTTAATCTTGATTTAATTTATTGCTTCTCTAACTTTTAGAATTGGAAAAAGATAAAAAGTGAGCGAGTTAAAGTTAATCTATAGACAGTTGGAAATAAACATGACAACATTATTGATCGAAGATATCGGTGTGTGCCGGTGTGCGACGCGGCGCAACAGATGCGACTGGCGGGAACGGATGCGCTGGTTTTTTATTTTAAATTCAACTTGAACGATGATCGATTAGTATCGTGGAGTTTTCGATAGTACTACCTTACCGATTACGACGGAGATTGTCAAGTGGCGCCGCGGTGTCGGCTTGTCAAACGCAACGGCGCATTCTGATTCGTCATTGCGTTCGCATTCAAGTTTATCAAACGGCTTTCTTGTTGCACTTGCAGCTTGCAGTAGCCGTTAGGCAAAGTTCGTGAAACGTGCAACGAATTCGCTTGCTTGCTCGCACCGTGGACATTACATGTCTGTAAGGACTGAGGGCCAATGCCAATTGCCAATCGTGGCGGTGTAGTGCGTGGAGGTTGAATACATAGAGAATCTCCGTTGACCGGATTCCGATACCAGTATTGCTCAGTATTTCCATTGCCACATTTGCCACTATTACTTCTATCGCGCCGCGCCGGTGTGACATCTCAAGTGACAGAAGTACGAGTGTAAACACGCCTCTGCGTCTGGAGAACTTTCTTTATTCTCCAAGCAAGTCTAGAGAGTGAAAGTACAAGAGCTTTGCCGACCTCGAGTGTTTCAATTTTCCGTAAGTAATGTCGAATCTTTCCTCATTATTACTTTGATCCTTCACGATGAATTGCTTTTTATTCAAAAGAGTAGAGGGAGAGAGCACACTCTTATTATTAATTCTACTAACGAAATTTGTAAGTCTTCACATTGAATCGGTAGAGTGGGCTGTTAGCCAACTTTTCTAAGACTACCAACTACCGACTCATTGTAGATCTGGCGTATAAGACATCGTCTCCTCATCATATTCTCGAAATCATCATAGGGTGATGAGATTAACTCAATCCTCCGTTAATACTCATTTTCACCAAGGTAAGTGAACTTTCAGCTTTGCTCCACTTTTTTAGTTTTAAATTAAAAATTAGAGGAAAATGAGGAATAAATTGAATCGAGAGATTAAAAGTTCATGGACGCAGGTCGATCGGTTTATAAGACAAAATTTCTATACAATTCGGTTGCTCTTCTTTTTTCGATATATTAAATATAATTTTAATTAATAGATTCGTTCGTATTACTCTTAAAGAAATAGTGCTGATAAAGTTCGAAACTTAGTTAAAGTTGCAAATAATAATTTTTTTTAAGACTTGAAAAAGATCAAATTTTTTTATAAAAAAAAAAGATGTAATTTGTTTTTGACGACATTCTTTTGACCACAATTTTGACCAATTTTAATTTTGTACATTTGTGCTATTTTGGAGTGCATATCTGTCATCCAATTTTTGGAGTACACCGAATGTATCAATCTATAACCGCTTTTATTTGAAGTACCTCATTTTCCTCTAATGTTTAAAACTAGAAAAGTAGAACCAAGTTCAAAGTTCATCTACCTTAGTAAAAATGAGTATTAACGGAGAATTTTAAGTTAATCTCATCACTCTATGATGATTTCGAGAATATGATGAGGAGACAATGTCTTATACGCCAAGTCAATGAGTCAGTAGTAATCTTAGAAGTTGGCGAATGGCCAACTCTACAGATTCGCCGCGACTCCAGACTACCGACTCAACATAAATCATAAATCTCATGTTTGTTTATATTATTTTGGAGATGACTCGATCGAAGTCAAAATATTTAAACGGTTTATTTTTATTGTGTTCTTTTTACACATCAACATTACATGTTCATGTATGGCTCATAGCCCTGATTTGAAAAATATTATTGTGATATAATCTGTATTTCTTAAAGTAAATTGAAAATATACGTATAATATATTCTATATACGTCTTTGTTTGTAGGAACAATATATATAAAAACCAACATTTAAATACTTTAACATTCTTTTATATATATATTTTTGATTAAAATAAATACGGATACGCATTATCTATATTTTTCATCAGGAAATCAGGATAAATATTTGGTGTATCGCGAAGAGAAAATTTGAGAATGTCGAGCCCAAGAGGATCCGTTCGCGAGGGCACAAGAATCGTACTGAAAGAAATAACCGCTACTCTCCAGAATTCTTCGCCAATTCATCCTTCTCCACGAAAGGTATTATTAATGAATTATTAAATATTTTGACCTGTATTCATATCGCGGTTTTATTGATAAAAACGCGCTTTTATTTATGAAATTCTATAGTATGCGTAACATAAACTATAGCATGTTAACACATTAACATCGTTGTAAGCATACGGCCTTAAGGGAGTATATACGTTTGGAGCCTCAAATAAAAGGCATTCTTCATTTCTTTTTTAGAACCAAGAGATAAATTATAAAAATAGGACTTTTTGCATAACAAAGTACACCTTTTGTAATTCTATACAAATTTTTTTAGAGTAATTTTGTTGGAAAATCTTCCCACTTTACTGTGTAGTCAGTCGTGTAGTACGCCACGCATGATTCCGCGGTAACAATGATTTCTCTTCACAAAAATCAAACGGCATCTTAAAGAACGGCATCTTAAATTTCCTTGTTGACGTATCTGATTTTTAAAATTCGAATTTTAAACAAAATGGCGAACTTTTAAAGTTAAAGTGCCGATTTTCGGAAAAAAATTTTGTTTGTTTAAAAAAAAATAGAATTCGAATTTTAAAAATTGGATACGACAACAAGTGAATTTTATAAGCTTTTAGTAAAAAAAAAAAAAAAGAGAAACCGGTGGATCCGTCTTCAAGTTATCATTGTTACCGACTTTAAAAACATGGTTTTGAGAAAAACGCGTTTAAAGTTTTTATTAAAGTAAAACTGAATTTATTCAACTTATACGTCATCAATTCCTGGGCCATACAGGGAACCTTCCTGCTCAAAATTTGCCTCCATTTGATAATTTTTAGCGAAGCGGTGAATTATCTTATACGGACTTCCCTTGTTATGTCCGATTCTTCTACCGGCGCGGCGCGCCGCTTCAGAAAGGGTAAGCGCACGGCTGTGCACTGCCTTGACAAAATGTGTGTTGCAACTTCTTATTGGAATTTCAAAAAATGGCTTTAAGACAATATTTTTGAAGGTTTAAACTGTCGAAAGATGCATTTTACAAAATCGATTTTTTGAAACCGACAAACGTATATACCCTCTTAATCATTTTGACACTGTTTTTCTTTGTTTATCTTTGCTTAAGAGAGAATTACTCCGGCGATGAGAAAAGCATTGCGGGAATGTTATGCACTTTCGCGAAACGATACTTTTCTCACGTTCGTTTGCGTTAAAGTAATAGCAGGTAATACGACGCAGCAAGTTTTCAGAAAACGATGACGACGGCCAATGCACAGACCGCTCTTATCGTTCGCATGTTCTCTTTATATCCTTCTCCGTTTACGCGACTGACAGTCAGACCGGAGAGAGAATGTATTTCTATAAATAAACTTCGTATCTCCAGAAGTATCTTGAAACAAAAATAAGTTTTACTTCCTGCCGCACGCGGAAGCATTTCTTTCATACGCATGAAGAACGCAGATTTGTTCGTAGATATATTTTTCATTTCGATTCGAATTTTAGCGCTAAATCCTCCAATGCTTTCATACATATATTTGATATAAAAATATTTTATTCAGAGATAGCTGAAATGTCATGTTTTAAAAATCGAAATGAATTAACTCTTTTGAGAGTTGTGTGTGAATGGATGAAATCTTGTAATAAAAACAAGCTTGAATATAAATATTCAATAATTTCTCAATTACTTATAAATATTTCATTTATTTCTTTTGAAAATTATTAAATTTCTCCTTGCTAGTTTTCATTTAATAGAATTTCATATTTTTCTATACATATCACATGTGATTTGAATTGAAATATTTACGGCTCAGGCAATATTAGACAATACTTTGTCCCATCCTGTATCTTTCAATGTCACGATCAATTATATGAATGACAATTATATGTACGATATATATGTCGTATAATTATTTATCTATTCGTATTTGCGTTAACATTGCGGCTATATTACAGATAGATACTAATTGGCGATGTAAAAGATATTTTCATCATCAAACCGTCTCACCACGGGTCCTCGTACTGATGTTTTTCCTCTTTTATTTATAGTCCGTTAGGGCGGTATTCACAGTTCGTTTTTATTTTAAAAACGTCTTAAGTAATGTCTTAAGATGCTAATACAGCTGTCTGATTGGTTCATGATACCTCAAAACTAATCTTAAGACGGTTTTGAAAATAAGAACTGATTATGAATGTCGGCCTTGGATGTTTCGTCTGGAGTGGAATGGCTCTCTAACATACTTGTCTCTTATCTCGCGACACTCCTTTACCAAGTGTGTTCCCGTCACTCCAGATAGCGCCACACCGATCGGTTGTGCGCGACTCTTACGCGGCTCGATGGTCGAGAATCCTGTTCCCACCACTTCCTTAGTTGGTGATCTTTGCGGCATAATGTCCGTACGGCGTGTGCGCGGCTGGACGGTATGGCTCGGTGCAGCTAGTGTTAGTACGTATCATCATCGTGGCATGGTGGAGGCAATGATATCCGCGGTGCAGCTTTTGCCGAAGATTCGATCGACGCGCGACGACGTCGTGTGAAGTTCTCTTTGACGCCGAGGATTTCTAATTTAGTTTGTAAAAGGTGAGGCGGTTCCCTGTTGTCTTATCCTTTTCTTCATTCTCTTCCTCTTGGAGGATCTCTCGCCTCGCGCGTGTACATGCACATACGTGCGTCGTGCTGCTGAGTGTGTCAATCCGACGATGACGGTGGCAGTAGTGTTGTTGGTGGTAGTAGTAGCAGCGATAGGATTGGTAGTAGTGGCGGTAGACGTTTGGAGTATTGACTGGGAACGCGCCGGGCTAATATTAGAGTTTCGACTATAGAGATATCTGCTGTTTATCTCTCGCTACCAGACCCTAATTTTGGATCCTCTTTCGCATGGAAGACGCTCTTTCTTTTTTTTTTCTTAGAATGAACGTTCAACACAAGAAGATAAGAATATCATCTTCGCATCGTATATTGGACTCCAATGCACGACCTCAAAAATATTTCATAACGATAGGTGTCGTGTATTTCAATCGATTAGAAAAGAGACTTGATTTGACATTTGTTATGTTATTTAGTTTTATCACTCGCTCTCTTTTGCTTCCTTCTTCTGTCTTGTGTTTTTCTTTATATCGTTTTATTTGTGTCTTTTATTATCGTTACTCGTTACCTCCTCTCTTTCCGTTCTTAATTAATGATCGCTCTCTTAATGGAGCAATCGCAGCAATTGACTTTGTACAGATTACATAAATTTACCTGTCCATGATTTTTTCACATATGTAATCATGTCTATTAATTTTCATCACGGTTGTAATCATTTGATAATATTTCTCTGTTAATTGATATTTTTCGAATTGTTTTTTTTTCCAAGGATCGATATTCAACTCAATAACGTAATACAAATACGATAAGAATTAGGTTTCTCCTTATGCAATTTCTTCTTATACATTCTATATTGCGTGTGTTTTGCTTAAATTTAGAAACATCATCGCTTGCATCAAAGTGTCAAGTGCTGCGTTTAAATATACATTAAGAACTAGAGAGAGGGTTACTTATCTTAGAGGGATGAGAGAGACACACCCTGAGATAGTGATGAAGTCTCTGTCAACGCGGTCAAGTGAGAATGAGTCATTCCGACGGTTGCGTTGTAATCTCGATGATGTCAAGAGCACGCCGAACACAAAGATCGTTAAATAAGGATCGCAAAATCGCATCTCGTAATAAATTAGATTATCATTTTTTACGCTATACTTGACGTTTTTTTCTTTCTTTTTCAGAAAATTAGATTTATGTTTTGCATTTTGTCTAATGATGTAATTCCTGTTCTCTATTTTCTGAAAATAAATAATGTTAGTAAATAATTTTTTTCGAGGATAATTATTTATGCTAAGTTTTGTAATGAGTCATTATGCCTGCAGAAGAAAGAGACCATAAAAAATGTTTATATTTTTCGCAGCTAAGAAATAGAGAATTAATAAAAACTAGTCGAATACTGTACTATGTCGAAAGCATGGATAAAATTCGGAATAACAAAAATTAATATTTGTATTAGTTTCAAAATTATTTGTGCATGATATATTTATTCGATACTTAGAGGATAAAATTATTGTGTCAAGGGTAAAAATATAGAAGGGAAAGTGAAATCGTCTTATCATAGGGGATTCTTTGAACCCGCGAGTAAATATGGGATCACGTTGTACGTCATTGACAGTCAAAAGTGGAGATTTTTCATCAAAAAATCATGGGGAATCTTCTTTTAAAGGTAATTTTGTGATCGATATCGTTATATGCACACTTTGCTACAAATTAATAAACGTCCACGATTTTCAGCATCTCTTTGTTCAGTATATAGAGCATTTGTTATTTAGATGCTTCCATAGTTGTCGTCTTGCAAAAGCGAGCGGAACTGGCACTACTAAAGCCTTTCTCAATGTCTTATAATTAGCCTGAGCGAAGCATGTGAAGCGATTGCGTAATTTCTTTTACGAAAATCGTCAGATCACAGACTGTCAGCTGACTTAGCGAAGTAGTCAGTAAGCGTTGATATTAAGTAGATTACAGATTGATTGCGATATGGTGTAATATGGAGTATATCCATAAACGTCTGCATTGTGCCACAAGTCCAAGAAGGTCTCCTTCGTCCACGTTGATGGTATATTACGTCGTATACGCTTTCGAAGGCGTTTTCTATTAAACTCTTCTTGGCATAGATTAACGCGATTGTTTATAAATCTTTGTGACAAGTAAAAGTCGAAGAAAGTTTTTTCATTGAAGGATGTTCGGACACGAAACAATTTTGTTATATATCAAAGAATTTTTATAAACCGGCCATTATGTATTCAATGGATGCTACATTTAAATTAAAAAAAAAAAAAACTAGTATGGTATTCTCGTAAAATATCTTAACGCATTTTTTATTTTCAGAGTGACAACGATAGTCCCCTGACTTTCCCGAAGACAGCAGAGCATGAAGTCAAAGTTCATTTTGCTCGCGAATTTGCCGATGTAAGATCGGTCACAGAAAATCTCTGCTTGACTCCAGAGAGCCTTTCGTCGGCCAGCAGTTTTCATAGCCTCACCAACACTTTTAGTATTAAGAGCGGCACATGTACCGATTCGACACCTCAAACTCCTGATATCATCGCGGATACATCATATGTGAACTCTGACATATCTGATGTAGAGGATTTGATTCTGAGATGTGCAGATATCCATTTAGAAAGTGAATGCGATAGTCAGGATCTCAGTCAAAATCAGACGTTTACGTCAGCCATAGAAGCACCGTTTTCCACAATCGAATGTTCCCTTAACGAAAATTTGTTAGACAACGCCGATAATGAGACGCAAGTGATTGAAACAAATACTCAATTATACGAAACAACGTCCTTGAATCAAACGCATGTTTTGGAATCGTCTAATAACACACCTTCCATTCAAGATTCACAGTTCGTGATTTCAAGTCCTCCTGCGGAAGAATATGTACTACGAGTAGAAGAATCGATTGATAAGCATATTCCGTTACAGGAAAGTGGTAATATAGTAAGTGAATTTGAAACGTGCGACATTGTGAGTAACCTTACAAAGGATTCACTGCCAACAAGTAACGTAAATGATAATGAGTTGAATATAACAACTACTATTTCATCCAATAATACAACTTTCTGTGTGACCGCGCTTAATGAAGAACAAGCAGTAAAAAATGATTGTAATGCCGAAATATTATTTCTAGAAGATCCACAATCGTATTCTACCGAAATTTCTGTTCCGTCCATATTCTCGTTAGCGCAATATGCGGATCTTTCGTTACCTAGTATAGCAAGTATATCGTCACCATTAGAAGATACTGATAATAAAATAAAAGAAACGAGTATACAGACTTTATCAGAGCCTAAGAAGCAAGATACGTCAAAAGTATTGTCGCTTTCCGACAATGTCGATCAAAAATTGCCTGTATTATCGCAAGTAATTCTAAATGACTCTGTTACTCGAACTGAAACGAACGAAATTATCAAGGAGCAAGATTCGTCTGAATTAGATAATGGTATTGTGTCAGATAATAAAGAAGATAACATACTATTACCAAATAAGATCAGTATTATAGAACCAAAAACATTGGAAGTTGAAGATAACTTACAGACGAATGTTGATACAAAATATTTAGAAGTAGAAAATAGCGAGGTGTTGAATGAAATACAGAAATTATCTGAGGAAGACATTGCCATATGTAATGAGACCCATGTTATAGAAAACCCAAATAATTCATCAGAAACTGTAAGTATAGAAAAGGAAAAATGTATTGTTGAAAGTGCAGCTACGATAAGTGCTGATAAAAAGGACGTATCTATTGAAGCTCTCGATCATACACTTACTTTACAAGAGATAGATATAAACTTTGCAACAGATGAAGAACAATACGAGAAATTTAAACCTCAACGACAAAGTACTACATTGTCGTTGATCAACGGACATTTTGAAGAATTAAAATCTACAGTAGAAAAAGTTACTAATGATCTACTTAATCCTTCACTGGAATTCACGGAAGAAACAGATCAATTTGTCAGTGCAACACCTGAATGTAAGTTATTGACAAAGTTCTTTTACATAATTTGAGATTATATATAATGATGGGAAAAAGTTCCGTAACATATTCTTAAAGCTGGTGTCAAGACGTTTCCGAAACACTGGTTACAAACCCTTTTTGCTTGAGATCTTCCTGAGTTACGAACCTTCAAAGTTTAAATATCTCTAGCGGTTATCTAAGATGTACCGCGTGGAGATGGAGATTCACGGTCGGATATCCACCTCTTTGAAATGCTTGATCAAAGTGAGTCCTTGTGTGCGTGCGTGAATATGTAATAGAAAATAGGAGTTTCCATTTAAGATTTCAAAGTTGACCTTCACGGTGTCTTTTAAGGTCACATAAAAGTTATTTCAATATAACCATATAATAGACCACTTGATATACTAAAACTTTTGTGTATTGAACATTTTCTTCCATAATCATTATTTTCCAAGATATTTGACCGTTTCGGAACTTTCTCCCATCATTGTATATACAGGGTGTTCCGAGAGTTTCTTCCAATCGCTTTTGTGTAGATAGAGCGGACTAAACTGAGTCGAAAAGTCCTGTATCATTTTGTAAATTTCGCAATGGTTAAGGGGACCTTAAGACATCTTACACATAGACGATTACGTGTCATTGACACATCACTACATCAATATCTTACTCACGCACGCCACACATATACGTAGATTTTTGTATCGTAATTATGTTTTAATTAGACATCTAAATCTAATTTTAAGAACTCCACGCTGTTTCTTCATGCAAACTACGTATCTGTGGACTACTATTTCTTAAGGACAGATTGCGCAGCTTTTATATAAAACAAATGTTGTTACGACATGCAACGACGTGACAGCTCTGGAGCGCCATATTGGACTAAAAAATAGTAAAGAACTCAATTTTGAAATTTTTTATTGTTTTCAGCATAGATTCTACCTCACAGACACGTATTAATGCGTATACTTTAATTCTGTAAAAGGATTTTCGAATCTGTGAATGACAAAAAAAATATTTACGATACAAAAATTATACGATTTAGTCGGTAATACAGGAGGCTTTAGGATCCCCTTTAACGAGATATTAATTTTTAAAGATAATCGAATATTGGTCTTCAATAATTTTATTCTCAAATACTATCAACTTTACAGAAAAATAGCGAGAGATAAAAATTGTTTATTTTCTTTTCATAAAATTCTGAACATTTTTTCAGAATTTTTCCAGAATTTTTGAGTACTGTATTTCTTATGTTGATAAAAATAGTTGTTAATAAGAAAATACAGTACTAAAAAGTTCACAAAAAATTTTTAGAGTTTTATGAGAAAAAGATACACAATTTTTGTCCCTTGCAGTTTTTCTGTAAAGTTGATAGCATTTGAGAAAAAAATTATTAAAGACCAATATTTGGCTATCTTTAAAAATTAATATCTCGTTAACCATTGCGAAATTTGCAAAGTGATACAGTACTTTTCAACTCAGTCCGTTCTATCTACACAAAAGCGATTGGAAGAAACTGTCGGGACACCCTGTATATATAGATTTATTAATTACATGTGAATTGGTTTTTCAGTTTTCCAAGATCCTTCGACATTTGATTTTTTGTTAGCACGAAGTAATCCTACACATACAAATCGCCTTAGAACCGAATCTTTGTATGTTAAGTTTGACCCATTGATATCGAATACCAGTATGTTACCTCAAGGAAATGCCCAAATAATAAATGACGAGAAAAATGACAAAAATGAATCACCACTTCCTGATGTTGGTACACCAAAACGTAATCCTGCCATAGCAGCTATAGACAGGCTGCTTTTTTATAGTCCTCTTCCTAATGCAACGGTGCAAAAATCAGAGGAAGTTCAAGAAAAAAATGTAAGTGAAAATCTATAAATTACTATCTCTGTATTTTTAATTACCCAGCGCTGCCATTCAGTTACTTAAGTCACTTTTTGTCACTTTTATTGGCAAGTCATTTAAAAATTGAAATTGAATGAAATTTATTCTTGACCTGGGAGGTTTATTGTTAATTTTAAGTCATTTAAAACTTTAAAAGTTACTATTGTCCAATATGAGTTACTATAATCATCTTTTTTCTTTAACTGACATGAAATTTGTAAAACATGAGCATTTTATTCATATCTTTGTTATTTTGTAGATAAAAGGAAGAATACCGTTCTAGGTTATTTTACTAATAATAAAAATTAAAAGACTCTCGATATAAAATATATTAAGAAGGAGGAAAAAAAGGATAATGAGAGTCACATCTCAAATACAAAAAACAAATTAATGTCTTCAAAAGAAACACATATATCAATGTCTTCAAAAGTAACACATATATAATAAAAAAGCATAACGCTGGAAATGTGAAACGCTAGAACATTTTCAGATTAAAAGTAACAAACGATATGAAAATATATAACTTAACAAATTTCGGTCTTGTATTTTGGCTCTCCTCAGATACAAACAATTATAACATAAAAATTCTATGAATTAACGGTTTTGTTAAAAAATAAAAGAAGAAAAAATAAAAATATCAAAAAAGTAAAATGAGAAGATGATCAGAGAGACAAAATTACTTGTCAAACAATTGGATGACCTATTGCGAAGATTTCCTGTTATTCTCTGCGTTTTCAAAATAAAGAAATCCATGTCAAAGATTAAAATCGTCAATAATACGGAATCAGAAGAAATAAAATTTTTGATGTCATGAAATCTGGAGACACGGTAGTGTCTCGGCGCTAAGCCAGGCGCAACGACACTGCCATGCCTCCTTTACGCGAATCTGAGAATTTCGGAGGATTGAGATGATCAGATCTCAGTAACGGCTGAACCGATCAAGTTCTACATACGCTCATAATTATATACGTAAAATCTGACTCCGTTTGATTATTATTGACGATAATATTATTCATAGAATTTTTGCGTTATAATTGTTTGTATCTGAGGAGGGCCAAAATACAAGACCGAAATTTAAGTTATATATTTTCATATCGTTTGTTACTTTTAATCTGAAAATGTTCTAGCGTTTCACATTTCCAGCGTTATGCTTTTTTATTAATATATGTGTTACTTTTGAAGACATTGATATATATGTTTCTTTTGAAGACATTTATTTATTTTTTATATTTGGGATGTGATTCATTATAGCCTTTTTTTTCCTTAATATATTTTACTAAAAAACCAAAGAAAAATTGAATAATTTATGTTCAGATCATGGTGGAATTAGACAGGTGACCCATTGTGCATAATGGCGGAGGCTCATGATTTCAACCAATCAGAAATTGAGCTTATTTTGCGGCGCAACTATTCAAACATAAAATAAAAAGAACAAAGCAGTTTATTGATTTTTAATAAAAAATTATTAAATATAAATGAAAATTATGTTTATTAACTTCATAAACAATAAAATAATCATAAATAAAATAGTGAATCTTTTCTCGGACTATTTTATCTCTCTCTTTCTGTAATATTAGTTATGTAGATTACTTTCCACACACAAAACGTCGACCAAATTTTACTCGAAATATTATATATAGTAAACATTTTATATCGAGTAAAGTTTCCCTCGAAGGGAACGTTTTGGAAAGTAGTCTACATAACAAAGACTTATGTAAGTTCTTTATTAATCATGTTTTATTTTTTTCTTTTATTGAATTATTGCAGCGCAGGCATATATATGTTCGCTTTCGTATAAAACAAGCAATTAACGTCTCGGGAAAAGAAACTAACTTAGCTAGCTTAGCTTTTTCCGTTCGCGTTTTGCAATTGGAAACGCAACACGTTGGCACATTGTATATACTTAAAAACAACTATGAAAAACAGGACGATGAAAAACAACGCGAGTCGCGACGTACGCAGACACATATAATACGATACAGCTGATTGCATCTGACTGTCGGCCATATTGAATTACTGCAAATGAGCTCAAAATTTAATTGGCTGCCATTGCACAACTTCTGGAATAGGTCACTTGTCTAATTCCACCATGATTCAGATTTAATTATATATCTGTGATTTTGTTCTTTTGTTATTATATTTTTTTTTATGTGTTAGGGCCTGAGCACAAAGATTGTCGTAACTGTTTTCGACAGAGTCGTAAGTCAACGCACAAGGATTTGTCGTAATTGTTTCCGACATAATCGTAAGTTAACGCAAGGATCGATATAAACATATGTCGTAGGTCGTAAGGATCTTTACGACAATCATTGTGCGTTAACTCACGACTCTGTCGGAAACTGTTACGACAATCTTTGTGTTCAGGCCTTTAGTCTTGTGTTAATTCTATATATTATTTAATGTATGTGTTAAGTTTTGATAAATGTAAAATTAAAAGGCGATTTTTGAAAATTAAAATTATTTTTTTATATAATACATTATATTATAGTCGCGGAAAAATAAGAATAAATGTTACTTTTTCATGGTATTCAGCGATCCTTGAATGTCCTTGTGGATCCTGGAATTTAATATATTCTGAAAAATTTCTAAAAAAAATCCTTGAAATTTTAGGATTAATCTGGAATTTTTGTCATTCTTTCATTCTAAAAAAATCAAATCGTAAAAGAAGAAAGAGATAAAAGAATATTTCCGAATAAATAAATGATTTATTGGCGCTTTATTAAATTATTAATTTTATCTAATAAATTAATAATTTTACAAGATTAGTAATAAATTACTAAATAAGGATGTTTGTGATGTTGCGTTAATAAAAAGTAAAATTATGTTTTGGATATAAGACTTCTCTTAAAGAGATAAATATTAATAAATTACCAATAAATATTACCTTAAAGAGATAAATATTAATAAATTACCAATAGAAAATTGGATTTAATGTCTAAATAGAACTTATTAGAGAAATTGTTTGTGTTGACACAGAATGTTCGTTTATTATTTATATAGCAATAAATCACATTGCTCCAAGTTTGTTTACATTGTTTCAATTCTTTCATCATATGGAATCCTAATTTGAATTTAAAATTATAATATTGCAATCAATAAATATTAATTAAATTATAATAAAAATTAATCGACCTTGAGAAATCAGGATTTTTATCTGGAATGTCCTGGAATTGTCCTTAAATTGATCAAGTCAAATTTTGCTGGACACCATATTTTTATATAAATGATAATAACTACATCATTATGTAATGATCTTAACTACTCTCAAAAAGTTAATAAAAATAATCATTTTAATTACTGTTTTAATGCCTCACAAGATCACTTTTTGTCACTTATTCTGTCAAGAAGCGGTCACTATTTTACTTTTTTTGGTCTGATTGGATGGCAGCATTGAATTATCATATAAAGTACTTCATATTAAAAAAAACTTTATATTAAGTTTCGATTATGAGACAAGCATTAAAAGTAAAATTTGTTCAGGAGCAACCAGTAGAAGAGCCTAAATCCGACGCACCACTTATTGATCACATAGATATGAGTAAAGAACTTGAACTTGTAAGAACTACAGTACTACAATTGGAAGAAGAATTGGAGAAACAGAAAAAGGAGCATGAAGAATTGGAGAAACAGAACAAGGAGCATGAAGCAGAATTGGAAACACAGAAAGCAATCTTTCAGGAAAAAATTAATAAATTACAGGCACAAATGTCACAAGAAATAAAAATCAAAACCCAGATGACGTAAGTAATTTACTAAAAATAAATTCATTTATATTGAATATAAAATATGAAAATAATTGAAAATAACAAGAATAATAGGGCTAATGAGAGTATATTCGCTGTTATTAATGCGATTCGCAAGCACATAAGTATCTGTTTATATAGAACTTGGTTCTAATATCTCCCCTAAGCGTCTAAGGTAGGCTCCCACTACATTACTGATGAGTCTAGTAGTGGGAAGTTCGGACGAAACGCCAACTTGTGATATTCTTCGCAATCTTATTTTTCATAGATTTTAATTTATCATTAATTTAACATCACATCGTTAAATTTTAATATGTCTTTCAACATATTATTAAGATCCAATAAGATGCTTTAAGCATCAAAAATTGTTAAATTGCTTATCAATTTAACTAAAGTGATATTACTACGGTAGTTGATTAGAGTCGCGTTGTAAAGTCTGAAGGATTTTCGGCACGCGTTTGACGGAACTACATACATGGTAAATAAATTCACGCTATATTAATATATATGATCGCACTAATAATAGCGAATATACTCTCATTAGCCCCATTATTATTCTTGTTATTTGAAATTTTCGAGAGTCTACTTTTAATTGAATTGAAAATAATTGGTTTAGGGTTGTTGTGGAAGAATACGAAAAATCTATTAGCAGATTACTCACCGAACGAGAAAGAGATCGTACAAGCTTCGAACAAGACAAGATAAAGTTACAAGAAGAATTGCAAGCAGCAAACCATCATCTAACTAATACGGAAGCAGCATTTAATGATGTACACCAAAAGTACGAAAGACTTAAAGGAGTTGTATCAGTGTATAAAAATAATGAAACTGTACTAAAAGAAAGTATTCAAGAAAATGTAGAAACTATAAAAACATTGGAAACGCGATACGATCAACTCAAGGAACATGCAATGGCGCAACTAGAAAAGTATACTATCAATATAGACACATATTATATATATGTATATATGTCATACAATGTTTCGGAAAAACAAATATCGTAATATATTTTAATATCACAATATATTTTAGGGCTAATTTGGAATTGGATGGAATACGAAAACAAAATGAGGCGGAAACAGTCAAATTGCATGCAATGATAAGGAAAGCAGAACTTAAAAGCAATTCGCTCACCGAACTTGTGGAACAGAAATCTAAGGAAAATAAAGAACTCGCAAAAATCTTAGACGAAGTTATTGCTAGGGTCGGTCACGGAAACTCGGAATGAAAATGAGGTATCGCGGTTGTGGCGCGATTAGTCTTTATTTTTTTACTTGTCCTTCACTGTCTTAAATACAAACATATGTTAGATACGATTGATGTATGCGTAAAGTTATTGCAAATGGCGTTTTACTTCAGAAAAACGCCTTTTATTAATTATTTATAAGTTGTGAAATATAACTATTTTAAAGCTAATAAAATTGTGCTTGTATTAAAAACACATTTTTATTTATGTGATAAAAAATGTTCAATACCCTGTATGTGGGTGTAACAATATACACATTCCTATTTTTTAATCTTATCTCATTACTGTAACACATTTATCTTATATTATATTAAGTTATATAAAAATCATAGCATAACACACATCGGCTAAAGGTAATGTATAAGCACCCCCATAATATTTGGTCATTTTAACAATATCCTGTGTTTGCTAAAAATCAAACTTTTTTTTATAAAACTTCCAGAATTTTACTAATTTTACTAATGGGTACTGTCAATTTATTGGCCTAGTATCCATAAGAAACAGTACATGATGCTTGGCTAATTTTAACATGCGATCGCTTGTACTTCCAGGTTTTCGTGGAATATTTCTATTTTCAAGATCAGGCATAAATTTTTTGATTGTGCGTGCCAAGTTCGCGGCATATTGTTTAAATTTCGGATGACTCATACCAATGCCTTTGCTTCGCAGGGCCTCTGCAACTGCCCAAAGTAATTTCTAGAAATAAGCAAAAAATTATACTTATCAAGTATATAGTGTATTAAAGCAAACAAAAAAAACTCAACAATACAAACCTTTCTATGAGTATCGCTTAATTCATTCTTTCCTTCATTGACAGATGTTTCATTTTTCGAAAGAATACTGCTCGATGAATGTCTATCCCATATAACCTTCGACGTATTTTTTATTTCATGCATACAATCAAACGATAAACTTTTTGCCCATTTCAATCTTGGTCCTTGCAATTCTTCATCACATTTTCTTTTTCTACTTTCTTCTCTTGAAGAAGTTTGTTTTGCATCTACAGATTCGTTCTTTTTCGAAGTTGAAAATAAAACACGTTTAATTTTTTGAGTATCTATATTATTTGTACCTAATAATTTGCTGGGACCAGCATGATCTGATGGAGGACTTTGGAACAACGCACGTTTCGAAGTTTCTAATTTGGATTTACATGGACTTGACTCATCTAGCATTAATCTCCGAACTACTTTCTTCTTTGCTGAACTTATTGGACTTTTACCTCGAGGACTCCTACCTCTTGGACTTTTACCATGTAGACTTTTACCTCTAGGACTTTTTCCTTTTTTATGTGTAAGTTTCCTGTATTATATACAAATACAAAAAAGATTTACAAAACTATACTCTAATTATCATATTTTTTACATGGGATACATACTTAATTGGTATCATTAACTGCCTTTTATCAGCAAGTCCCAATCCTTTCAAGTTAGCGCTACAAAAAGTCCTACGTCTTTTGGTTAAATGTGTCAATCTCTTTTCTGGACTTTGACCATTTCTGCGTTTCATTAATAAACTTCGCTTTCTTATACTTCCCGGTGGTTTGGAAAACCATATGTTACAAGAAGATTGTGTTTCAGCTCCTATGTATCTTTCACATAATTTAACTGTTGAATTTTCAAACTCCTCTACAGTTCTGCTTCTGTTATAACTGAAAATTTAAAAGTAGCATTAAAAGGGTAGAATTCTACTTTATGGTAGATAAAAAAAACTGTAATAAATGAAACTTACTGTATGCCATGAAACTTATGATAATAAGCCTGAGGCCATGCTAAAGCTTTAGCTCCTTCTTCACTAATCGTATGATAAAGAACAGGAGAATGCTCATGGGATACATCTGACTTGTCTGCGACTGGTACAACTTCAATTGTTTCTTTAATCATATTAACTGGATTTTTTATCTCCTTAGAAACATCACATTGTATGTTCAAATTATGACTACCACTATTGTTTATGTTTAATTGTGTATTTTCGATACTATCAGCTGTCAAATTAAAAGCATTAGTCAAATTCCTTGGAGTACCTTTTGTACATTGATACGAAACATTCTTATCGTTAGTTTCTGTGGGTCTCTTCTGTTGCTGGAGCTTTGTGCTTTCTGCAATTTCTGAACTTTCATTGGGTAATGGACATCCAATATAAAACAATCGACGATTTTCATAAATGTGTCGTAAAAAATCAGAACAATCACTTTGACATGTCGTATGTCTAGGTGGTGGTGGGACACCACTCAAAAACTTATTAATCCTAACTAGCATATAATTATCAGATTTTGCAATCAATTCAGCCTGAGTAGGCATTTGAGGAGAAATCACTGCCAATGTATTATTGTCGGTTACTTGTGTCTCAACGTTTTTGTTATATATATCACTTTCAGTATCACTATCGAACATTTCTGGACTAGAGACATTTGAGATTGTCTCCCTAATTTGAGAACTCTCATATTGATTGGCAAAACAGCAATCCATGTGGTTTTTTTTTCTAAAAATTCAGAGAAGTATTACGTTGCGATAAATTTAACAATATGCAACACTTATCAAATTTTTTAAAAAGGATGTATATTCCCGAATACTACTTCAATTATTGACTATGTATATAATTCTTTGTGTATATTTTACTGATTCTAATTCTACTAACATGTTTCCAGTTCCATAAATATTATAAAAGTACACACACACATATGAGATACATATGAATTTGAACGTGTATCTAATAATGGAGCCACATTTTGCGTCACATTCCTTGCGTCATTAATTCTACTAACATGTTTCCAGTTCCATAAATATTATAAAAGTACACACACACATATGAGATATGAATTTGAACGTGTATCTAATAATGGAGCCACATTTTGCGTCACATTCCTTGCGTCGTGACATGAGTTATACGTATATGATGTTTGTGTAAAAATCGAGTATGTAACATTTACTTACATTCCAGTTTATGACAGCCGAATGATTGCGTCCACCTTTTTTTCACATACAGTCTGTTTCTTCTGTAGTAAAAAATTACTCCTTGTCTGCTTGCTGCGTAAGACGCTAGAGGAGCTTTTGTCGAGAGAGAGATAACCACAGACTTATTAATATACAGAAATCTGTGGAGATAAAGCATAGAGATAGTGTACTAGCACAGTATGTACAGTAGCGCTACTCTCCTGATTTTGTGAAGCCTAAAATGAAGTGCGCATGCGCGGCCGAGGCGCGTAACCAATCAGGGCACTGTATTCTATCTCACTTCTTCTTTCTATTGTCGGTGTCTGTCAGTCCCATTGAAATGTCCATATAAGGCATTTAAAGGACCATTTGACGAAAAGTGGCGGGAACGCGACGAATTTTATGTGAGAAACAGTGAGAATAGTGCTACGTGTGATAAAGTGATAAGTGATACGTGTTTAATTTTAATAATTATTCAGTGTATTCAGACGTGTTTAAGAAAGTGTAAAAAAACAGAGAACGTAGACCGAGTTAGCTTTACGGAGAATAGGTTATCTGTACAAAAATAGTACAGATTTCAGATTCTCTTGAAGCACTTTGATCTTAGCTTTCTGTTACAGATATTTGGAGAGATTTTAAAAGGCGAAAAAAATGTGTGCTCAAAAATCAAGCGGATGGTGTTGCGAAATAGGCGAAGTACTAGACTGTGCTCTTTCTCTTTTCATCCTTCTTTCGCTCTGTCAAAACGCACTAGATTAACCTAGATTTATTTGCGTCACACTCCAATGAATGCATTGAAGTGAGTAAGAACTATTGTAGGAGCATGTTGGAGAATGAGACACGAATAAATGTACTAATGCAATAAAATAATCTAAACTTAATGGAAATTAATACAAATAAATTGTAAATATATTGGTAAATAAAGAAATAAATGTAAAATAATTAAGAAAAATATTAAATTATCTGAAAAATATATATTTATGTAGAGAAATATTATATAATTGTAAATTTGTAAATATATGCTATGTATATACATATTATCAGAAAGTTGATATAAAAAAAAATTTATAATATATATTATATATTATATATATAATGTGTGTGCAAAAAAATAAATATAAAATACAACAAATAAAAAATGTAATATATTTAGAAGATAATTTAAATTAATAAATAATATCATATACTGAAATAATTTTGATAATAATTATGCCAAGACATACTATATATTATATATATACTTATACAATAATACAAAAATATTGTATGTTAAAATATTAAAAAAGGGAAATTTTTTATTAATGAATTGTTTAAAGGGAACATTGAATAAAGAGAGAGCAATAAAGAAGGAGAAAATGAGATAGGGCAACCTATTTATTTCGCGCATGCTCATCGTTACTACATATACTGTGCTAGTGCGTTTTGACAGAGCGAAAGAAGGATGAAAAGAGAAAAAGCACAGTCTAGTACTTCGCCTATTTCGCGCATGCGCACTCCATTTTAGGCAACACTAACATCAGAGGTGCCGACAGAGAGTTGCGCTACTGTATATACTGTGACACTACCGTGTCTCCAGAAAAGAGCAACCCTTGGCACTGGGAAACCCTTAACCACAGTATATGTGGTACTAAAGTACGCATTGTAGGAGTGGGGGTAATCCTATCTAGAAAAGGACGCACTCATTTGGGCTAGGGATCCTCTAGTAAGGGATGAGACAGCACGTGTGCCAGCTGCGGATTGGTCGCCGCCATTCGAGGGACACTTCCGTGCTTCAAATGATACGCTCCAAAGTGCTGGTTTTATATCCCACGATATCGCATATAAAATTAATTTACAAAAGTAAGTATATGTACATATACATATATATATATATTAGGGTGTCCGTTATTTCCCAAATTTCAAAAATCAGTTTGTTCGCCCCCTAGATCTCTTCTTTGGCACCAAAAATTAATGTAGAAACTCAATATAGTCCGATAAATTAAAATTAAGCCGTGCCACCGAGCACTTTTTTTTTTCCATACAAATAACATGGGGATTTTGCATTTTATCGGCATTTAATTCTCTACTCAGATTCTCTATTCAGATGACTCTGTCCGTATAAAAAGTCATACCCAACGGAAAATTACTTCAATACGGTGTACTTACAATGAAAAAATTTGGCAGAACTCTAAAAAATTTTTTTGCACTGCGGGTAAGCCTCCAATTAATACGTTTATTTGACATATTTTCATTGAATTTGATTATTTTTTAACAGTTTTTTTTTATACAACCACTGGATTTATGTACCAAATATCAAAACAGTATGTAGTTAATTCATATTTATAGTGTAGTTGCACTAAAAAATTTTTCAGTGCTATAAAAAACTTTTCATAAAAATTGTTTTATGTGTAATGAATGAAAGTATTTCAATAAATAAGTTTAAAAAAATTGAAAAATAACAACTAACTATTACTTACTTACTATTTTATTGTTGTAAAGAAATATTCAGCCTGTTGATTCCTCTTATCTATAAATAAATAACAAATAAATCGTTATAAATTATATTTATTACTTTTTATTCTTTACACTTACAAAAATATATCGCTCACATCTTCAAGTGAAAAACTTTTCATTTTTGTCGTGTCTTTTTATGTGAAAATTGATTGTTTTTACG